ATCCCCACTGCCTGGCAAGCCTCTCCCCCAACTCTCCAAACTTGGTCCAAGTTTCTTCTCAAACTCATTCTGTCTGTGATGTCTCCCTGACCATTCTCTCTAAAACTGAAACTCTATACCCAGAATTTCCTTTTCACTTTGTTGGCTACATTTTCCCACATGAGCCTTCATTTTTAAATACATTAATTAATGTATTTGATATAGTAAAAGTACTACCCATGGTCTAATGACTTAGGGGCTCTTTAAGTTTGTATTTCCTCCTAATCTTCTACTAAGTACATAATTCTGGTAGTTCTCTTTTGGAGAGAATTTTGCTATGTAATCTCAACTGGCTTTGAACTTGAGATCCTCTTGGCTCAGCCTCCAAGCCATATGCCACTGTGTCCAGCCTTATCATTTTCTGCCTTGTATAATATTGTTTTGGATTTAGATTTTGAATATTCTTCAAAGACCTTGTGTTCAGAGGTGGGGCTTTGGACGGTGGTTGATAGCTAAGTGCTATGTTCATTTGTGGATTCTTTCGCTAAAGAATTTAGCAGCTGGGTTTGCTGTGGAGGGGACCTGGTTGTAGACAGTCACTGGGAGCGTGACCTGGAAGGGTGTAACTTCCCCCTCAGCTGTTCCCTTCCCTCTCTGCTTCCTGGCAGCTATGATGTGATTAGCTTTCCTCTGCAGACACTTACTTCATGCCATTTTTACCTTGGAGCCAGGTGATCAGGGGCTGAATCTCTAAAAACCATCAGCCAAAATAAATCTGTCCTCATTTCAGTTGTGGGTGTCAGGTATTTTGTCCGACAGATTGTCATCAGCTTTGTCACAGATTAATTCATAATTTTAGTACTGTCGCTTCAAATTATACTACTACTGCTTTACCTGTTTGGTATTTAATAATTATTTCCTTTTATAAATACTGCAATGAACATCTTTATATGCTTGAAATTTTCATGTTTAGGAATATTTCCTTAAGAGATATTCAAAGAATTGATATTCTTGGGTTCTTAATTCATATTGCTAAATTACTTTTTTAAAATGCCCGATGAAAAATGAAAATGTATCCTTCAAACAGCAGCATCTGAAAGGCTTAAAATTAGTTTTTAAAGGAATTTAACTGATAGTGTATTTTCATATTTGCATTCTTAATATGATAAAAGGAGATAAGGCTAATTATGGTTCTTTTTTTTTTTTTAAAGCCTGTTATGTTACTACCAGAGTTGCAAACATTAGGCAGCTGAGAACAGGAAAGACTAGGACAAATGGCCCAAGCTTCTGTTGTTTTCTGCCTTGATTTCTCTTTTGTAGAGTCTGCTAAGGCTTTGTTGGACCCAGAAAGGTACATGCAACGGGTTGAGGTATTGGATACTGTAATGGAATGTACGGAAAAATCCATGATGTGTTCACCTCACATCCTCTCACCCTTTGTCGAAGCATTTTGCATGCAACTCTTTTGTCTTAAAAATGGGCACAAAAATACCCAATATGTAGGCCTCACATCAGAGGATGGACTTGGGTATTTTAATACTTCTTCCAAGGTCAAAAATACTTAAGTATAAAGAACTTTATTATTCTCTTTAATGATTAGTAATATTTAAATAGAAAAGACCCCTGGTAAGGATAATTGCTTAGATGAAAGAATTCAGATTCTAAATTCTATTGCTTTCTCATTTTAATTAAAGTACAGAAATACATGAATCCTCTAGAGCATACCCAAGAGCAGACAATAGTCTGGAAGATGTCTCTCCTAAGGAAGGGTTATTGGTTCTTTCATTCTTCACATTACTGAGAAAATTAAAAAATATTAGCCTGTGCAGTGATTTTCATGAGAAGAGGGTGGGGAAAATAAATATGAAAAACTAGTAACAGTTGTCACCAGGGAGAGGACAGCTCAGAAATAGAGCTAGAAAAGGACTTCCTTTCCATTTCTGTACCTTTTGAATTTTGTAACAGACACATCACTTACATCAGTCAACAAAAGCAACAGGTGTGTGCTGTGTGTCCCTGAGCTGGTATGAGCTCCTGTCTCTGTGGTCCTTGCTCCTCAACCAGACGGTCCTGCATACTGTGCACTGCATGCAGTCCTGTTAACTAGGCAGCAACTGTTAAGCAGATTTTGTGGTGGAATTAGTAGTGTGAGAAACTGTTTTCAATTATCTTTGGAGCTGCCTTCTATTTATTCCATCAGATAGATCCTTCACAATATTTTTATGACAGCTGTTCTGGTAGGTGTAGCCCTGGGCAAGACAGACATGCTCCTCATGGAGACTGTAGCAGTGTGCAGGTTGATGATGACCTAGGTGAGGGTTATGCAACAGAAGTGTGAGCTCCTGGAACCCAGCGCAAGGATGATCTTCCCTGGATGTGGGGTCAGGAGAGGCCTTTCTGATCTGTGACAGATGAGTAGCTGACATTTGGTGATACGTAGTGGTGGGAGATGAAGAGGATGATAGGAAAATTCAGGGGGAGAGAATGGCATGTGCTGAGGTGTAGCCCTGCTCTGGCTTATGCAGTAACTATGGGGCACAAATGTGTATGGAGTCCTTGAAATAGTACTGGTGTGAAGGAAGGTGCACCTCAAATATACAACACACTCAGGATTTCAAAGTTTTAGTATGGAAAAGAACAAGAAATCACAAATGATATTTGCTATTGCTTAGATAGTAAATGTTTCATAGATTAGATAGTAAAGGTTTCATATTGATAAGATACTAAAGTGGTGCTATCGTTTGAATCTGGAATGTCCTCCGGGCCTGGTCATCACTCTGCAGTGCTAATGGAAGGTGGTTGACCTCTTAGGAGGGAGGGTTAATAGAATTAGGGGACTGAGGTGCCCTTGAAGGGGTTGCTGAAACTCTAGCCCCTTCCTCTCACTTTGCCTCTGAACTATCACAAGCTGACAGGCCTGCTGTGCTACCTGCACCTGTCACCGTGTACTGTGCCACCTTAGGCCCCAAACCACATAGCCACGTGACTGCACCAGAGCCTCTGAAACCATGGGGCACAGTAACCCTTTCCTTATGAAGCTGATTTTCTTAGGTATTCCCACGGTAAGAAAAGCCGACCCTACACAAATGGTAACATTTTGGATATATTGGGCTAAATGAAATCTATTCTGAAAATTAATTTCACTTTTTTTCTTCGTTTAACATGACTTCTAGAAGGTATAAAAGCCATGGAGCTGACTCACCATCCCTTTCCATTGGACAGCCCTGGTGTAGGGTTGCTGGGGAGCCCAAAGTGTCTGGGGACTCAAAGCACCTGCAGCGCTATTGGGAGGATGGCGGTGTGGTGACAAAGGATGGGGCTGGACCTAGGCAGGGACCACACCAAACATGACTGTCCCTGGGGGTCCTTTTGAGGATTCTGGACTTTCCTAAAAGCATGAGAAGGCACTGAAGATATTTAAGGGGGGAAGTGATCAGAGCAGACCTGCATTTTAAAGAATATACAGCGTTATAAGGGTGCACTGGAAGACCAGCTAAAGGGCTGTCACACCCACCCAGAGTAACACTTAGACTGCCATTAAAATTCCTTATCTAGGCCTGAAGGGCCTTTGCATCAGACCCCAGCCTTCTGTCCCCACCTCTTCACATACCATTCTCCTCCTGCCTTCCTCTGGAGCCGAACAGGATTTATCAGGACTTCTTCGCTCATTCATTCCCCCTGCCTCAAATGCTTTTCCTTAACTCTTCTCAAAACCGACTTGTCATCAGAGCTTTTCTCAGTTCAAGTGTCACCTCCGCAGGGATGCCTCCTTAAACTCCTTTCTAAAGTGCCTCCTTCCAATTAATTTTTTCTTTCGTTGCACGTATCACTATCTGAAATGATCTTAGGATTCATTCTTCTGTTTTTTTATGTTAGGCATACGAACTGCTGGAGAGCAGAGACACTGCTTGTGTATTTTTGGTCTTTTACATGAAAATTGGAGCTTTGGGGATGGGAAGGACAGAGAGACTTTGTAGCCCAAGTTTTGGAGAGGGCACATAGTCCTATGAAGGCAAGTGTTTAGGAGGAAGATAACAGAGAGTGAGCTGGCTTGGGAGACTAGAAGAACTCCTAGGCAGAAAGAGGAGGACAGTGTTGTGGAAGGCAATGGAAGAGGAATTTTGAGAATGCGGTCACAATCAACAGTAGGATCTGCTGCCCGATGGATAAGTGCAGCCGGTGCGTTGTGACTGGACGGTGTCGGTGTCCCTGAAGGAAGTGTGTTCAGTTGGAATGGTGGGTGGAAACAGACAGAAGTGGACAGAAGCATAAGTAAGAGAAGGTGAAGTGGAGACTATGGATGTGAATAACTCCTCTCCATGAAACTTGCCAGAGAAGTTTCAAGTGCACAGCTAGTTTTGCGCATGGATGTACTGAAGAACTGTTTTTCATGAGAGAGCTGAGCTGCTGATGGGTGGAGGCTGGAAGAGAAGTTCAAGTTAGAGAGAAAAAGAGATGGGGATAATGGATATCATTAAATCTGATTTGATGGAAGGGAAGGCATTAGAAGACGCTTTCTTGGAGTAGAACACCACTCCCCTTAGAATAGGAGGAAAGGCGGGATTCTCACCGAACCCTCACTGCTGCCAAACAACAAGGCCCCTGGACTCATCCTGGGGAAGCTGCAGTCTGGTCAGCGAGGCAAGACAGTGCAACAGAAGGGAACAATAGCTCTGTCTGAGACAACGCTGCAGGCAATGAGCTGGAGTATTTCACACGCGAGCAAGATTAACTCTTGATGCCGTGATCAAGGAAGTTTTCATGAGAAGTGGCATTTGATTTGGGTCTTGAAAGCAGTGTAGGGTTTTACTAGCTGGGGATGTGAGTGGTAAAAAATATAAAAGAGAATGCATTTCATGTCGAGGGGCTGGCATGAACAAAGGATTGAAGTGCTACATTTCAATCAATTTACCCTTCAGCAAGGAAACAGACAATTTTTTTCTGTACTCTGATAGAACATAGCAATTTAGAGGAATAAAGAAACCTTACAGATTATCTCATCAAATGTTCTTATTTTTCAGGTATGAAAATGGAGGTGCTAAAAGACAGAAGTAACTGTTGAAAGTCACAAAACTGGTAAGCGATAGAGCTGACTCACAAACATAGCTGCCACAGTAACATTATTCCTATTGTAAGGATAGGATATATTTAGTAACACCTCACTTTATTGCATTACATCAGAGGTGTGACTGTAGAAACTAGATGAATTTTAGATTTGGGAAAATGTATAAAATTATGCACTTAGAGTAATTACAATAGTTTTCCTGTGGAGATGTCACTTTGCAATCTGTATTCATGACGATGTTTATTCTTGGGAAATTAACTGATACTTTCCAACCATTCTCCAGTCCTGTACTGATCTCCTATGCTTGGCCAAATTAAACCCCAAATGGCCAAAAGTGAATTGGAAGCAAAATCTGTGTTAATCCAGTGTAAATTTACAGAGAGGAGAATGACAAGAAGGTACTAGTTCCTTGGGCTGCTGTAACACATCACCATATACCTTGTGGCTTCAAACAACATAAACTTGCCATCTTGCCATTTTGAAAGTTAGAAGCCAATACTGGGCTATAATCAGGGTGTGAGTAGGGCTTTCTTCCCTCCTGGAGCTCTGGGGGAGACCCTGCTTCCTGGGTTTTGCTCCTTCTGAGGACTTACCACTTACCTTGGCTTGTGGCTCCTCTGTACCTTTAAATCAGCAGCACAGCAGTTCTCTCGGAGAACTTGACTTTCCTCTGCCCACAGTGAGGAAAGGTGCTCTGTTTCTAATGTTTTGTGATTAGACTGGGCCTGCCTGGATAATGCAGGATATTCTCACCTCGAAATCCTTAACTTTCATTGCAAAATCCTCTTTCCACCTAAAGTAGCAAATTCACAGGTTCTACAAACAGGACATAGGCATATTTAGGGGACCATTATTCTGCCAACCACAAAGAAGGCAAAAGGCTGGGATGTAGTGCAGTGGTAGAGACCTTGCACGATGCGGACCAGGGTTCAATTCCCAGCACTACAAAAAAAAAGAAGAGGCGGAGAAGAAGAGATGTATTTTGGATTATTAAGGAGGTAGCCCATAGGTAACTAGAAGTAAGCAGCAGGCAGTAATATAAACTCATTACATCTTGGCAGATATTATTTTTTCCTGTGAAGAGTTGCTGGCCAAATGGTCTGGAGAGTGCCAGAGACAACTGTACCGGTCTGGCTTTTCTCTGGCTCTTGTGGGAGGATGAAGGATTGTGTGCGGATGTCAGTGCAGTGAGCCTCACTTGTAACTCATTCAACAGCTGAAGAAAGTGGAAATAGGTGGGAACCTGCATGAAGGTCTTGGTGTCACTGGGCTTTGTTCTTAGTTCTTTGTTTACAGGATTATCAGTGACTTGGATCAGGACTGGGTCTCCAGGGGACATGCAGTAGGGTGCAAATTGAGAGAAAATCTCAGTCAACTAGGAAGAGAAGATGAAAGTACCTGACTTGTTAGGATAGTCAACATGAGACCTTAAGTTTCAAGGAGAAAAATCCCTTAAATGTTGGATTGGTGGTGCTGGATTTAGTGTCCATTTATGTGGGAAAAAAAGCAATGGGTGTGAACATAGAAGTGATGAGATGGACATTGTTAATAACTTCTAAGCCATTGCTGTATATCTGGTAACAGGCTAAGGGCTTTGCATATGTCATATACTTTCACACTAATGAAAAATTGTAAGGAAACTATGATTATTTCTGCTTCACAGAAGAAGTTATTATTCGGAGATTTGAAGCAACTTGCCCAAGATCACAAAATCATCAGTCAATACAAACTTGAGTCTGACTCCAAAGACTATTCCCACTTAATAGAAAACAATGGTGCTTTCAAAAAGACTGATGAGCTGGGTATGGTGGTATGTGCTTATACTCCCAGCACTCGGGGGGCTGAAACAGAAGAACAAGTTTGAGCCCAGCTCGGGGGACTTGTGACCCTGTCTCAAAATGAAGGCCCTGGATTCAATCCACGACCACCCCAAAGCCAGTGAATTGTAGCTGCATTAGTAAAAGTAGAGTATTGTACAGGTCCTTCTAGGAAACATCTGGGATATATTTCCCAGTTTGGTCTCCTTGCTTTACAAGGGCCTTTGACAAACTTGAATGTGTACACAAGAGTGTGAATAGGGTTCTGAGGAGTCTGGACATGAAGTTGCATGAGAAGGAGTTGAGCAAACTTGGTTTGTCTTGCTTAAAAGAAGCATGCTGTACGTGTGGACAGCACAAAAGTATAATCACTCCCTAAAAATATCTGGAAGTCGTGCAGAAGCAGACTTTGGCTCAAGAAGACTTACTGGTAATGATCTCAGCTTTTACGGCAAGGATTGGTGTGAATTCCTGGGAGCTGGTGATGAAAGGGCCTTCCTCTTTGGGCTTCGGTAAGTGCTGCCTACTAGGAGCAGGTGCTGGGCTTGTGTCTGTTGACTGCATGGATAAGTGACTTTGTCAGGAACATTCTACCAAAAATTAATGAGTTGAGAATCAGTGAACTTTTTGTGTTTTGAAACAAAGTTTTACTCTTTAGTGCAGGCTGGCTCTGAAGTCACTATGCCCCCCAGGCTGGCCTGGAGTTCAAAGCAATACTCTTGCCTCAGCCTCTCCAGTGCTGGGATTATAGGCAGGCACCACCATGCCCAGTAGAAGCAATGAATTTGAGGATTATTCCAAATTTGAGAATTTTCTTGATTTGATTTAGATTGTTGACTTGAGACAAGCAAAGCGCACAGCCTGCAGCCCTGGCTCTGTTGCCTTCCTTTGCTGTACTGATAATGCAGAGTCCTAATGCCCTGATTAGTGCCAAGTTCTAGCGACCTGAATATCAACATCAGGAGTATTTCATATTCACATTATGAACAGGCCTCTTTCCAAACATGTTGACATTTTAATGGTTCTTGAGTGGCCCCTACTATTTTTTCCCCTGCATTCTTGCAGGATTGATCGGCAAAATCATATAAAAACAAATTAAATTTGTAATCTAGCCACTTCTCCAAACAAGCTGGCAACAAGCTGGTCTGGAGGACTTTGTAATTACTACAACAGCTGCCTCGAGTCGAGTAAAACAATTTTATAGAGTTTATTTAGGGAGTGAGGCACAATTGTGGCACAATAAAGATGACCAAGAATATGCACACATGGGAAGGGATATAACAAAAGTAGGCTAGGCTTGGCCATGGCCAATGTGTATAATGTGAAGGCCCTAGAGGGAGACTACCATTCCTCTGTAATGTGTTCAAAAATAATGTTGAGGCCATATTTGGGTATGACAAAATCCTATCTTTAATATAACCAAATCTATGGTGTTTTCTTATTTGTGGCTTCAGTAGGTCAGGTGGCTGAATTTTCCTTAACATTCTGGCATAGCTTTTGCTCTATTTTGATTACATCGGTTGCCTCTGAGTTGACAAGAGTACATCCTTTTTTTTCCATCCTACACACTCCAGTGTTTGATATTTGATACGCAGTTGTTTATAGCCCCTGCCTATTTCTCCCTGTCCCTTTCTCTCCCTATGCCTTTCCTGTTATTTCTCTCCCTTTCTTTTTTTCTCTCTCTCTTTCTTGCTTGCTTGCTTGCTTGCTTGCTTTCTACTAGAAATTGAACCAGGGTCTTGGCAATAAGAACTGAGAATTTTACCTGGCTTTCCACATCTCAGTTCTGCCCACCATAACTAGTTTACCATATTTGCACCTCTGCCATTCTTAGCTCTTATATTACAACATGAGACCACATCACCATGGACATCCACGATGACTAATATATAGAGACTTTTAGCCTTTTGATCCATACCTCACTGAAATTTAATTTGGGGGTTCCAAGTTAATTTCCCAGTGCAGTCATTTAACTAACAACCACATACTCCTTTGTTCTAAGTGCTTTAAATTTCACTACCATAATAATAATCTGAAGGATTATTCCTTCAAAGAAGTCTGTTTACTTAAGAAATGTAGTTATTTTATCAGATTTGTTGGTCTACCTCTTCTTTCCAAGGATTCTTTTTGTATGACTGAGGGTCTCTTTAGGAAACCAATGGCATTTTCAAGCTGGGTAATTGAGAAGATTGCAGTAATAGGGCTGTTTACAAAGGTGTGTAGTTTAGGAGAAGCAACAAGGGCTGGACCAGTGCCCCAGACTAGCAACACTTAGGCTGTGTTACCACAGTGAGGCCTGGCAGGGGAGAGGGGGACCTTGGGACCTAGACAGGTAGTTGTATGCAGTACAAAGCAGGGAATGAGCTGGGGAATAAATACATGATTTCATTATTCTTTTTCCTGTCTTCTGCTGGTCTTTCACATGAACTAAATCCAAGCAAAGCCAGAGGGCAGGGAAGCCCATTGGTGCAGTGAGGAAAGGTTAGTCTCCTGGAAAGAGGTGGCAAAGAGTCTGGAGGGACAAAAGGCAGAGATCCAGCATGATCTGCACCAAAGCTGGTGTCCTCAGGCACTGTGTTGATCTCCTCCTTACATTAACTGCTCCCTCTGGGCTGTCCCATTTATGGTGTTTCCTTCTCCCCATATCATATGTTGGTGTCCAGATCAGTCCTCTTGGACCTCCCATAAGAGCCACCCCTCAGTGTGCCTTGAACAAATTCATTGGAACTCATCATCTTTATACCCTTCACCAAACTGCTCCTCCACGTGTACTCTGTACCTCAGGTAAGGTACCATTGCCCTGGTGTCCAAGTCAGAAACCCAGCAGACATTCCACACCACAGTCTGTTGTTCCCAATATCCAATCACCAATTCTGATTTTACCTCTAGGATACTGTGTTTCTCCTTCTAGCTTCTTTTCTGTCCCTTTCTACACTACTTTCCTAGTTTAGATCATTAATACCTATTGTAATCGGTTTTCTGGTCTCAAAAGTAAGTGTCCTCTTGAAACAGTGACCCATGCTATGATTACAGTTTGCATTTAGAAGTAAAGTCTGTTTCACTAATTTATTTACTTAGAAAATATTTGTGTGATAGATGTGCTAAGTGTTGGAAATTTGGGGATGAGTAGAGATGCTCTTGTCTTCTCCTGTTGCTTCCAGAGTAGAGAAGTACAGATCCATGGGCGCAATGAT